TGCTTTCTATGCGTTGGAGGAATGGGGTCAGTGACAGCTTCCATAAAAGAGTAATCAGGGCAAATAAACTAAGATGCAGTGGCTGAGTTTCTGGAAAAGCAGGTATTTGCTAAAGCTCTTCCAAAAACCTATGTTTATGAAACTGGTGGAGCAGAGCTGATGGCCAGGGACTCTGTGGGAGGACCTCCAGCCCATCTTTAGTACAGCAGCGCAATGTCAATGTTTACAAGAGGATTGGAGAACAAGGGGCAGCGAACAGGGAGGAGCTGAGGAAATGCAGTGCTTAGCGTGAAATGTGTCTTCGGTTAACCCATGAAATGGCAGAGGATACATGGGCTGTGATGCTGAGCAGAGATGTGCAAATGGTTACGTGAAGCAGCTGGGGCAAGAGCTCTAAAGGGAGTAAGATGCAGACAAGGCCAGGAAACTACCAGCAAAGGTAGGTCACATTGCTGAGGTTTCTTTAAACTGAATAAAGCATTAGGGACATATCCATACAAAAATACCACCACTCGCACTGCCAGTAAAAAAAAATAAACTCACAAACTATTCAGTCAAAACAATTACTATAGTTGCTGAAAAATCAAAGCAGCCACCAGTTCAGAGGGCAGCAGTGAGCTGTGCCACCACAGCCCATACCCTTAGCCCCTGTGCCTGCATCCTCACTGTGCGATGGCAGAAGATACCCCTGCACCATGGGATACGTGTCTCACTGCAGCCATACCCAAAGGTGTAACTCGCATCGTTTGGGCTTTGGAAGGGTTTTTTGGCATCAAAAAAGTAATGCATCATCTATTACAGTACTGTCACCCAGGTGATCTCAGTTTGGACTGGCAGGCGACAGCACTGGAGCTGACTAGCAGACTCCTCCTCAGCATCGTCTGAGCTAGACAGCTGATGGTTGATGCTCTTACCTCCTTCACCCCACCCATCCCCAGCATCTCAGTAGCAGCTGAGCACTCTCAGAGCCCTTGGCTGCATTGGGAACTGTCAATATTCACAGCATGTGAAAGAGAACCTGGAGAATTCTCTCTGGCAGAAGAACCAGACCTCTTGTGCTGACACATTTGGGGTCTGACTTTGCCAACAGCTCTCTTTCCTCTAGTAACTACTGGAGTGGATCCGCTAACCTTTAAGAGATGTCCAGCACTTTACATTGCAAGAAGACACTTCCAGCCGCTGTGATTTTTGCAAATTTAATTTTTTAAAGTACATTTTAATCTAATTTAAACAACAACTCCAACATGCCTACTCCTACCTTGGAAATGCTTGGACCCTTGCATTAAAGTGTGGCATTTAAAGGTTTTTGATTGTCCCCGTGCAGGCCTTCCGTATGACAGCCACTCTTCAGGGCCAGTGAAGTGCCAGTATGTCAACCTCCCACGTGCCAGAGGTAAAGCTCCTTGCAGCCCTCTGCTGCCAGCAGAGCACAGAACGAGGTGAAATGCTTAGAACCAGCAGCTGATGGATTTGTCATTTAGGAAGAGCAGCAGAATGGAAACACTTAATGAGCCTCCTTCATGGCCAAGTCAGGGAGCTAATTACAGCTCAACATACTTCGGTGCAGTTCTTGGAGCTGGCCTTGGGCAGGTCACTTAAGACCTGGTCCTGGAAGTGTTGCCATTGACTTAAATAACATCAAGATAAAAACTGAAATCTCCCTAGGTCTCTGACACTGGATGTAATATGCCTAATAAGATGATGGAAATAATATGAATAGCAATAACAGGATGAACACACAGCATTATGAGTCAGGATCCTTTGAAATCCATTAGTGACAGAGGAAGAGGGGTTTTGGTGCACCAGCATTTGCCATGTTCCACTGAGTAATTCCATGGACTTCTGCTTCTTCTTGATTTCAGAAAGAATATCCAGCAGTCTCTGGCTTCTATATTTTATTTTTTTTCTCATCTCCTAGCTAGCAGAAGCAGAAAAATAAACACACAACTAGGAGCTGTATTCACAGACAGGAAGTAACTTTAATTAAATATTGTGAAAGTTGAAAAGTTTTTACAGCTTGAATTTCTGCAAAAAAATTATAACAATCTCTACAGTAGTTAGTTTCTCTAACAATAGAACTGTACAGTGTGTGTATCTATTCAAAAAGATTTAGATAAGAAGGTGAAAGGTTAGTAGTTTCAGAGATGACTTCATTTTAGCTGCATCCTAGTACAACTGTGAGGAAATAGGCATACTTTATGCAATCCAGTCATTGTGAAGCTTCACCTTGTTAAAACTGAAATCTGAATGTTTCCACTTAAAGCCATATTCTGTAAACAGCTGCATCTTTTACTTTGTAAAAGATAAGGGTGGTGCGGGGGAGATTTTGATAAATTCCCATTTCTCGGATTACTATAAATAGTGGCAACAAAACAAGACGATGCACGTTGTCAGAGGATCTTTGGACACTGGCGCAGAAGACTGCAAACATCGATGGCTAACACTGGTTTCAAACTCGCTATGACTTTGAGTGGAGCTGTACAAGAGTCACTGGACAAAATATGGCTTTAAATTTGATTACATTTTCGTGCTGTTGCTTACTATGTGAATTAGAATAATCGCTTGGAATACAGAGAAGCAATAAACGGATGTCTCTCACATTTTCCAGTTTTCTCTTCTTTTATTTTTCTCACCAAGGAAAAAAAAAAAAATCCTGTTTTCTTCCCTTCCCCCCAAAGATCACACTGTGACATTCTAGTGAAAACCATTGCAAAATTCATACAGGAAGCATGCACAGTTGCAGCATCGTTGTAAATGATTTCTTGCTCAACTAGAAAAAAGTTATATTGTTTTAAGGTAACAAAACAGTTCTTTTGTGCTTTTCAATTCCTCTTTTTTTTTTTTTCTTAGAATGTTAGTGATGATTGACAGTTCTGGTGCACAGTACAATGTACAAGTGAAATGAATATGATTTGCATTGTTAAGGCATCCAATCTGCTGGTTTATATTTATGTGAAAGACAGAGAAATATACAAGCAGACTTAAGAAAGAAAGTATTTTCATTGAGTTCTATGAAGTTTCTCCCCATATAATGCACAAAAATGCGTCACTCCAAAGAGGAGAAATCCCATGCATATTAATAGAGTAAAACAGCATTAGTTTTTGTTAAGCCTCAAAAGCAAAGGATACATTTTTTTTTAAAATCTACATAACTAAATGCTACAAGAATAATATGCTACTTTTTGCCATATATTGGAAAAAACTTCTTAACTTACAAATAATACAAAAATAGACAATGGCTTTTGGGTGGAAATTAAAAAAAATGGAAGCATGGTTTTAAACAATACTAAAAAAAAACCCTATAAATGAAATGTTTTAAAATCACATTTAAACAGCTAATACAACGGTGAATGACCAAACAAATCAGCACTTTTCACATAGCAAACATACACAATAAAATAAACTTGGTAGGGGGAAAAAAGCAATGTACAAATTCCAAAGATAAATACATTATTTATATGGATATTTTACAAAATCCCCCTTTAAACAAACAAACAAAGAAACCAGAAACAAAAAGCTTTTTTTGTCTTTAATTAATTTTGCAAGTATGTGCAAGCTAAAGGTAGTGAGCTCTTTTTGCAAAATATGCAGTAAAATTCTTTTTATTTTGTGATATTGAAAAACTGTCTTAAGACATTAAAATGTATAAATAGAACAACAACTTTGGCAAAAAATCACAAAAAATCTACAGTATTTATAACTACATACAAAACACAACAGCAAAGAAAAAATATCAGGTAATGCATCTTCAGAGCTTTGCTGCCTCTTTGACTAATAGTTTTTAAGAACACTTCCCAGGTAATGATAGCAAAATTTTTGTAAAACAGAAGCTATGGTTCGGATCTGAAACCTTCCTAACAGCCCCATCACCCACCCCCCCGGTACTTGTGTTTCCATTTACTATCCAAAAGCAGTTACCTGTTTCTTAATATATTATGATACAAACCGAGGGTCGACTGATGCAGGAGCAATCCCCGTGGGAGCTTGCCGGGAACGTGTGCTTTTAGGTTGCGAGGACGCGGAAGGGCAGGCAAGCCCGTTCTCATGCTGCCCCGTGAAATCAAACAGGTCAAGGGGAGAGGGGCTGTGCCGAAAACACGCCGCGCGTGCCGGCTGCCGCCCGCGCCGTTAGACGGCTCTGCAAAACCCAAGTGGCAGCTCACCTGCAGCTCAGGTGGCACTAAACCTCAAGAAGGCCGCTCATCGGGAAGGGGTCTGGTGTGTAAGCTGAAGAGAGCCCCGTGCTGCTAGTGCTGCGGTTGTAGAAGTTTATCTAGAGGCACTGGATTTTCCGTTCAAGAGGAAATGTGTGATTTGCATCCTTACCTTTGCTCTCACCAACTTTTCTTCTTGTATTATTTACACATTTGTTTAGCCTGATATTAAAGACAGAGGTTACTAATCCCACCCCTCATCCCACCCTTGCCATCCAAAAATATCAGCTTTCTAGGGAGTGATAGCTATTTAATTAGAACATTAAAAATGCATCATATTAGCTAGTCACCACTGGATAAGCAACCTGTATGAGCCGACCCTTAATTAAATGGCCATAATTCTTCTACGAAAAACTAACTGGCACTTCTATTCTGTCCCATACAGACGTGTATGTAGATGACACCACTTCATTTTTCTTAACATAGCTTTAAAAAAAAAAAGATCATAAATTAAAAATGTGGAGTTCCATCTCTAGTGTCCCTTGTGTAATTGTATGATTACAAATGGTGTTGAGTTAAATCAAGCCTTAAAAAAAAACCCAAAACCACAGAAAAAAACAGAAGGGAAAAAAAGCCTCCCACTCCTCCCCCCCCCCCAAAAAGTGGATTTTTTAACCAACATACAATAAATATATCTCCCAGGTATTTGGGATGGACGACTCGAATCAACACCTTGCAATTGCAGATTGTTAATTTCAGTATTCGCAAGGATGGTGATTTTTGTTTTGTTTAAAAATCCGCAGTTATTGTAAGATTCTTCTTTATTTCTTTTTTATTTTTAAAAAGGCCTGAGTAAAAAGTTCCACTCTGGGACTTGTATCAGATTCTCTCTGAAGCAGAATTCAACCTCTTCTTTAATAAAATTCTTCAAGGCAATTCTTTCACATGGGGGGAACAATCATGCCAGATATAGCTGTCGGAAGGAAAGGGGAGGGGAAGGCGGGGAGAGAGAGAGAGAGGGGTAGGGAGGAAAGTTACTTTTGTGCATTATCAAGCAACTTTTAAAATCCTCAGAGCTTTTAAGCATTTACTAACAATGTACTCGGCCGCACTGTGAATTAAATTTATATATAAGTATCCTCCAGTAGAGACAACTATGTACACAGTAATCATGGGAAGCCTCACTCTGATCAGAAAGGGATTTAAACTGCAAGTGACTCTGCTGAAATTAGTGATTTTCTTGCAGAAAAACTGCACTTCCCCTGATACCAGAACCAGACCCCAGCTTAACATTCTGATTTTACTTTCAAAATCTCAAAATGCTCAGGAGGCTTAAACCTGACCACATTCTATCACTCTTTTAAAAGCAAAGCAGATCCTTGCTCCCCCTCTGAGCAAATGGCTGGAGTCCATAAGCAATATTAGAGGTCTGGGAGGGTGTTAGTTGCATTAGGCACACTAACAGGGGTTCATTCTCCCGAGCCAGCTTTCTCTTACAAGTACAGTGTTCAGCCCTGGGACTTACGTATGCATGCCCAGGTGTTCAGAAAAGGACTTAAACTCTCAAATGCAATTTTCAGATTGAAATACGTCCTTAACTGGTGGTTTAGCAGACCATCATTTCATGGTTTTATTACTCTTGTAGCAGACGACATCAACTACGTTGAGTGAATCATATGTTAATTTAGGATGTCTTCTCTTTTGTTGGCTAAGTTGAATCATCAGTATTTCCTTATTATGCTTCCTAACATAATTTGCTACGAAACCACCACCTCCCTTAAAGAGGAGACATTCATTAACAGGTACAGTTTTCCACCTAGCTTGACCTCCAGCTTGGTGTCCCTCTATTTACCAGGGACTCCACGCAGATCAGACATACCAAGTGTCCAAATGATGCACTGTGAGCGAGCACGTCATGACAGGGGGTAGTCATGCCAGCTTACGAGGACAACTGTAACAACCATGCCTCTTTAAAATACTAGTTGTACGGTTATTTGCCAAAAGGTAGAAAACAGATTCGCCTTCAGGTTGGCGGCATTTCATGGGCACGTTATTTAAATGCTAGAACTGCCTGCCATCTCAGACATCTGGACATGTAATTTCTTAAGGAAGAACTCAACCCTGTGACTGGTACTGATTCATTGTGCTTTAATTACAGCTGCAATTATTTGATAAGAACAGAGCCAAAGTAAAAGACTCACAGATTTGGGGTTGGAGGGGGAGAGGAGGGAAATGTTTTCTCCACAAACACCACCATATGTGCAAGAATTACAAGTCTAATCAGCAAGGGGAGAACAGCTCGAGTAAACTGCATTGATTAAATGAAATAAAATGAGAGGAGAAGGCAAGAATGCAAAACACATCCACATGTTTGCAACAGGCCATCCTCAGAGGTGACATGTTGCAACTATACAGCAGCATTTCGATTCTTGGAATTTATCATTCAGCAATGTTTTTACGTGGAATCACTGTACTGATTGTTTCTACTCTACGTAAGGGCTCTTCAAGGAGCTGAGAATGACGATAAAAGCGGTAGTGAGTTGCTTTAAGCCCTACAGGAAGGCACTCAAGTGAGTAGCGTACAGGACAGCACCGTGTTCCTTGCTGAGGTGTTTCCTGTCATGGGAATTTTGGCTCTACCATGGAGATTATCTGAGCATGAATTTTCCTACTATCTCCATAGCTATGCTGACTCCTTCATCTCAAATCACAGGATGAATTCGATATTGCCTTTTTTAAGAATCCCTGATGATTTAATCAACACTGGGTAAAACAACAGCAGCTTTGTTAAAAAAAATTCTCAAATTTATTTCAGCAGTGTCTCAACTAGCAGATTCTGAATCCTCACAATTGGTCTGTCCCTTTGGTTCATGTGACTAAAAATGAAGGAAAGCTGAGCCAAGCAATGTTCTCACTGTTGTTGTTGCTCCCTACTCTGCCCCTGAGATCCTTAGAGTGTGGGCCAGGGTATGACCCTGAACCACAGACCTCTGTGGCATCACTAAAATAGGTGTTGATAGTGATGGATACAGTCAGTCAGACTGTAATTCTGCTGTGGCAGCTCTGCAAGGCAGCCACCAACAGCTAAGGGTGAGACTGTAATTGTCCCTCTTCGAATATGTGAAAGACACATGGACCTGAGACACAAGTATTGTCCCATTTTTTCTTCTGGCTCACTATATTACGTCAAAAAATATGATTTCTTTCTGCTTCTTACCTGAAGATAATGATTTTTATCCCTATTAGTAACGCACTTGGAGATTTCTGGATGGCAGTTGTTTAGCAGAATATAGGGGTGGGACTGCAGTGCTTGGATGCCACTGCCGTATGTTACAGCACAGCGAAAAGCAATACTGACAACAGTGCTCCCTCCTTTACTGCTCAGATAAGCAAGGCCTGGAGCAGATGGGAATGAGTAGAGTCTTTCTAGATGTGATGAGTGCAACTGAGCAGAGTCAGATGGATAATTAATCCTCCATGCATTCTACTTTAACCTGGGTTTGTTCTTCTTGGCCCTTCCTGCATTATAAATTTAGTGAAACTTAAAAACAAGATGTTATTTTGCTTTAGAAAAATTACCTACACTTCAGAAAATGTCAAAAATTCTCAGGCTAAAAGATTCTTCAAAACCAAATCGATTTCAACAAGAAATGGTCAAGAATTCTCTCTCTTGGGACTGCACAGCTGTCCACCGTGGGCAAGAACCCAAAAAAAGGTGACATAATTGCAACTCCTCCCTTCATGGCTTAGAAGGAATCCTTGTAGTTACGCGGCAGCCATGTACCTTTTGTCACTGGAAAGAAATAGTACAGATGCAGATCTCTGCTCATTCTTTCAAAGCGTTATTGTTTTAGAACAGCTCTGAAATTCTGAATTAAATTACAAGGAAAAAGGCAAAATTATATCTTTTCTGCCTAAAAGCTTTGATATTTCCTCTCTTTCCACGTCTTCATTTATATCACCCTACTTTTATTCTGTAAGTGCTACATCTAGTCATGCAAATTCTCTCAGCTGTGGCATGTTACTGATCCTGAAAACAGAGATATCAGTGGGAAACTGTGTAGGTATGAGATCACACCAGCTCCAAAAAGCAAGGGCAGAGAGTAGAAAAACTCCCACCAATGGGCATTATTTCTTCTATCATATACTAATTTGTATCTGCTGCTAGCAAATTACAGAAATAATTTATTTTGTGTTTTGCAAAATTGCATGGCAAAGAGAACTACAGATAAGCCTAGCTGTTGTTTTAGTGAGTTCTGCTGATATCTAAGCTACATAAGGAAAGCTTCATTGTTTTCCGATGTATCCAGAAGCCCAGGAGAGATAAGACAGCCTCCTTATACATGGTTGTTTATTTAAGCAATAAGGCACAACAGGCAGTGCATTTCTGAGTGATAATTACAAGCCTCAGGTGGTGTCAGAAGGCATGGGACTAAAGGCTGTGTGTCTTTAACTCACCAAGATGTTCAGTGGTGACCTAGAAATGAACCATCTCTTGGTGTCTCATTCCTATTATGAAAACTGAATAGCTAAATAAAAATTAGCGGAAACACTCAGATCTGTGTGGTTTCTGGGCATTACAGATTTGGATGTGACCTAATGAGGAGGCAATCAGCAAGCCCCAGTTTCATCCGGTGCTCTCAGCTCATTCCGTAATTGCTTTCTGTAACTAAATACATGGAATCTGGGAATTCTGTGTCTTGTGAAAAACAGTGCCTGAAAAAGCTTTCTCCTGCTACTCACTTCTTCTCTCCACCCGCATCATCAGGCTGGGACAAGGTGAAGAGAAGAAAAAACCAGTAACAAGTTCAAAAGCTTCGAGCAGTCAACTCTTAGCTCTTTTTTGGTTTTCTTTATTTTTTTTTTCTCAATAATGGAGGTGAAACATTTTTAGCTGTTGCCTTTAAAATTTGTAGCATGTCGGCAGTGTCAAATTTTTGAAATGAGCAAAAATTAAGCTCCTAAATATTACAGCTCATCTGAAAATCTTGTTGTGTTTTATTCCTCACACAATCTGGATTTATAATGAAGTCCTGACCAAAGGAACCCAAATGCTGTTTATACATTCCTAGTATTTTCAAACTACATTTCCTAGTAATTTCTGTTGTGAGTGTGTACATCTGCAAGGATTCCTCCTTCCAATTCAGCAGCATAAAAGCAGCTGAGGATAAAGAAAATGCTTTCCTTAGGCACAATAGATCCCAGCTTTTATGAATGAATTCTTTCCACTCTGCCTGCATATAGATTTTTTGGCTGTTAATGGTACTATCAGCATTATGCCCGCAAGCCCAGAGTTTCTCTTTCCAGAGGCTGTAGAGTGACATGTGGAGCCTGTGGAATTATCCTCCCTTGCTCTACACAGCTCCTTCCGAACATGGCTTTAAAAAAGAAGGATTTTTATTCCCTGCCCAATGCTCTTTGGATAATTTGCACAGACACGTGGAAAGGAAAACAGACCTCAGGTCTGGGGGAAGCACGAAGCGTACCACACCTCTGGCACCGTTGGAGGCAGCTGGCTGCATCTGCTTATGGAAACTCCTCGGTCTAAGCCAGCATGAGAATGTGTCTCTCAGCACAGCAATGCTCAGTGAGGTCATTACCCTCTGTGAGGCAGGTTTGGGCACAGTGTTGTAAAACAGGCTGAACCAAACCATGAAATGGGCAGCGTTGGTCTCTGCAGCATCCACAGTTTGACGAGCTTTGGTCTGTCACACCCGTGGCTGCATCAATGCTTCAAAACGGATTTAGGTGCTAAATCTGGAATACTTTGTAATAAGAGGGGAAAGGAAGCAGAAAAGGAGCAGCCCCTTGCTATCAACAGTTGAAGAGGCTTTCAAAAGGGCCCTGTACTATTTAGGGCTTTAATTGGCAGAGAAGGACATTAATCAGTGCAAACTAATGTTTGCCCTGGTATGAGTTAGACTGGAAAATGCTGCTGTTAGTTTGTAATCTGTCTTCTGTTTATGAAAGGCAAAGGTTTGTGCCAAGCTCTGTAACAGCCTGTTTGCTCTCAGTAAGATTTCTGCACAAGTGTACTATGACAAAGGAAAAAAAGGAAGGGAAGATTGAGTGACGTACTTCAGGAGAAGGCCAGCCCCTGGAGAGACCCTGCAGTGGAGTACTTGCTAGAGTCCACAAAAGACTGGTCTGATAAAGGACGACAACAGGGAATAAAAGAGGAAAGAAAGAAAGAGGATGGTATTAGTAAGCTGAAATATTACTCGTTTTTATCATAACAGTAGATCTGTGCTTTAAAAGACACAGCCTCTCAACTGAGCAGTCTTAGTCGAGTTAGAGACAGGGTGGTTGCCAAACACCTGCATGGTACTAGGTGGGCTGGTGGTGGAGTCCAGTTACTCTTTACAGGAGGAAACTTTAGGACAGAGACCACCAGGGATCCCCCATTGTCTCCTGTCCCCTTTGACAACTCAGTGTCACTTAGAGCCTCACAACACACCAGGACCTCATGGTTTTGAGAGCATCCTTCTACGCTCCAGACTTGGTTTCACCTACCTTGCAGGCTATTGCCATTGGTGCTGGTGCAGGTGGGAGGAGGAGAAGTTTGCGGTCTCACGACAGGCGCAAAAGCACTCTTCTGTTTCACCGCTGAGACCATGTTGGCTGGTGAGAAGGAGAAAATCCCAGAGGAACTGCTACAGTTTGAGGGGAGGCTAGTGGAGGAGGCCATTGTCGGACTTGATGGCACAACTAGAGGAAAAAAAGGACACCCCAAAAGGCATTCCTTAGTATTAGATAATCAGCAGGCTGCAGAAACAAGAGAATTCTGCTTCTCAGATGCACTGGGTCTAATTTCAAATGGCCAAGGCTTCTACTGCAGTTACACTTCCAGTTGTTCACAAAGTGTGATCAATCAGTACAGGAAACCCACTTGATTAATTTTGTTTTCTTTTGCAGGTGTTCGGGAGCAGTAATTCTAGGAGCTCTTAAATGCTCCCTTAATTCTCTGTCAGTGCAACTCTTTATCCTTACAACAACCCCATCCTGCCATCCTGTTTCAAACCTTTCTAGGGATTGGCATTAGCCACTGACCTGGTCCAAATGTGTGATGTTCTCGTGTAGGTGGGTAAGTGGGAATCCAGGTAGATAACTCAGGGGTTACAAAACTGATGGGAGAGGAGAGTGGTTAAAGTAAAATCTGGAGCTGGAATTTTTAACTTGGAAAGATTTCAGTTTTTAACCAGCCCCCAAAGCCAACATTTTAAGCTGTGCTTTTCTTGTAGCAAGACAGGTCCAGAAAGACCTACAGGGTTGCAAGCAAACTGGCAGAAGGTAGAGAGGTCTTAGTGGTGACCCAGTCAACCCACTTGTGAAAACTTAGAAAACTGGTTAGGTTTCATTCCTTTCTTAAACTCTGCAAGAACAAGGGTTTAAAAAGAGTTATTCTGAAAGCTATGAATATATATATATACACACACATAGGTACACATGGAGGCTGCATGAAGAAACCAGTGAGATGGACAGTTTGTACTCCATGGGCCTCCTGGCACTAGTGTTTTCAGTGTCTGTTACACAAGGAAATGTATGGATAACTGACAGAAATAATGATTTTTTTTTAATTATTATTTCCCAATGGGAGAAACCACTACACCTTTCTCACAATGGCCACAGATGCTTTCCATGTTATAACTACTCGTACCAAGTTAGTCTCCAGCTTCCCTGTATCCATCAGTTTTGGGCACGTTTCTGCTGTGGGGACTTCCCAGGAGTCCTCAGTGACATGGAAAAAAGTCGTATTTCTCACGTGACCATTTTATTTAGGCACAGGAATGGAGTTAGCATTTCTTATCTCACCCAAGATGGAGAATTTTGATAATGAAAGTCTGGTTTATAGTGGTCAAGACAAATAGTCCTCCCAGAGGATCTATGACTACTGTCTGAATACAGTCAATACAACATTCTCATTCAGGGTCATCAGCTGGAATCTCAGCTGGAATAACTAAGCAATAAAGACATTCCGGTTTACATCAAATGAAGATCTGGCTTTAACTACACAATTGAATAAAATGAGAGTTGTAAGTTTTTTTAAATAAGTGTAGATACAAGGCTGTGCTTTTTTTAGGGACTGAACTGATGGTCAAAAATGCAAACCTGCTATATGGGTGGTTTAGTTTTAAATACATACATCATTAAAAATCTATTTTACTGTGTAGTGGGACAAATATCTTGCATTCAAGTATCCATCACTGAGGTTTTAAGTGAATTTGTTTTCATTAAAATAAAGCCAACTACTTCTATATTCAGACAGCATTGCCAGTTTCCTCTCTTTGTCCACAAAAAAAGGTAAGAACCAATGGTAAGATCCCATACTTTCATTCTTCATCCTGTTTATATACACAAGACTATTTATATACACAAGGGGGCTATAAATAATTACAGATTAGAGAGTAAAATTCCTATTATCTGGGCTTTGAATTATTATTTTATTTGCATTTATGTAGATAAAAATCACCCTATTTAAGTTCTTATTTGATAATCTGATATCATATTTGTTAACACTGAGGAAATCAATTAATGGAAATTAAATGTTCAAAGTTTCACAGTTTGACAGATACAATCTTAGTCTGAAGTCACTCTCTGTCTGGAAGTACTTGCTAAGGGAGAGCAATCAAAGCACCTAAATTGAATTGCTACTATACAGCAATTAGTTTATTGATTTAATTAAGAATGCCACCTTTTAATTTCCAGGTCATGATTGAAGCATTTTCTGATTCAATGGATTAGGCATTAGCAGGATGACAGCTCTACCAAGAAAACATCCCAAAATAAAACTAGAATATAGAGCCAGGACTGGGAATTGAAGCGCTATTCTAGAGGACTTCGTTCATAAATATGAAATAATACACTGCTAGAGTATTTTAAATGCATTACTGGCATCTGCTTCCAAAAAGAGGTGTCTCATCAATCATGTTATATTATGAATTCAGAGCACACAGATTCTATGACAGTAAATTCAACTTAATAAGTAAGGTACTCTCTAACATTACTTCTTACATTATTATTAGAGTACAAAAATAATAACTGGTTAGAAATTCCCAGGTTACAAGTACTAGTTATGTGGGTAAATATTTTATTCTAAGTTTGCAGCAGCTAATAAGCCTTGGAGGTGTTTTTTTTAAATCAAAGTTTCTATCTCCTTTTTAATTCTGAACTCTAGCAATGCAATTCAAAATAATTCATTACTGCTGTTACGCTATTAAACTTAAGATTTGCTGCATAAACCTTGGTATGTTCAGCAGCCTGTTTGTCCTGTCCATGCTAGGGTCTCAGCCTATAAACCTATTTATGTGACAAGACCTTCTGGCCTGATTCTGCTAGCAGCTTTCTGCAGATGTCAGTGGAATCTTTTATAACACATGAGTAACGTCAGAGGAATTGGGCAGGTCCTGTTAATTTAATTTTCTCATGTGAATAGGGACTACTAAACCGTGTGAATGGCTACAGAAGGTTCATAGGCCTTTACCAATAGAAATGTATTTATATTTAAAGAGGTTACTAAACCTTTGATATAAAAATACAGAAAGTTAGTCCTACACATAAACATGTCCATAACTGGGACCTTAGACCATAAGCTCTGCATGCTATGGAATATTTGATTTGTATGACATACATCTTTGTGGCATTCACTGTACAGACATTAAAACACAAACTCTAAGAGCCACTGTCACATTTTACTGACAAATACTAAGCTCTCAGTGAATTCAATATAATACCTACTTACAGAGCAAATGGAGTATAAGCAATCAAGATTAGGCTCAATAGTAATTCATAATTTCTAGAAAGGTTATGAACATATTATTTGTTCAGAGGTTTTGGAAACATCATCAAGCAGCTTATGAAAATGTCAGTCTTTGCCATTATTGCAGTAAACTTTCCTGTTCTTCCTTACAGTTGGAAAAAGCTAGTTGTCCTGCAGCAAATACCCTTAGCCTCCTTTCATACCCACTGCAACAAAAAGTTGTGTACTGCCAACTGACTTTTGATCCACTCCGATGGACAGTAAGTCACTTATGCCATCCCTGCTTTCTGGCAATGTTGAGGACAGCATTTCTTATTTACAGAGTAAAAGAGAAACTAAATATTGAGTATCACAGAAAAGTCACAATCTCCTTCTAATGAAAGTGTGCAAAATACAGAAGAGCCATATAATACTCACTGGCATAGGGAGAATTGGCAGCAGATCCATTCAGGAAGGTTGGAGAACCGCCTAAATTTGACATTCCAGCATTCCCATAGCCATTCATGCTTGTTGTGACAGAGTTATAACTTGTCTGCTGAGGGGTGGTGCTTGGCACATAGCCATGAGGTGACACGCTGCTTGAGTTGCGAGTAAAACCTTTTGTGGGGAGGGAATACATTTAGAAATTGGTATTAGCCTAAGAACAGATTATTACACAAACAGCTACAAGCAAGTGAGTAACTCTGGGCTACCAAGTCAGCAGCCTAGTCCTGCCATGGCATGCACGGAGGGGCCAGGACAGACCACCATTACCCAGTAACCCAAACTGTGACCCCTCACTACCTGGGTCACTGCTAATGGCAGCACAAAGGGGGTGAAGGGGCTACAACCTTCACAGCTCCTCAGGCAACCCATGCCCCTCAAGCAAAGATTACCATTGGGTATTATAGGAACACTCACTCTTTTAGAGTTGTTTGTAGGAAATGGAGTAAATATGACCTACATTTTCCCAGCAAGGGGTACACACTGACTTAAGGTATATTAAAAGCCGGTGATTTTTGCTCTCTCTCTTCTGATGTTGCTCTCATTTGATGCATCCCAAATTAGATGCTCAGTGCACACTTTAGAAAACATAGGGTATATTTCTCAAAGTAGAGGGGTAACCTTAGTATTTTTGCCCTGGTCTGATCATTATGTTGGTAAAAAATTACTATCAAATTTGACACCAAGTTAAAGTTTGAATTTCTACCTAATTCTGGAAATGATATTTGGGGAAACTCATATACAAATATCAAAAAAAGAGTATTTGTTTCTAGAAGCACAGAAATACAAAACGCATCTTCACTCTAGGAAGATAAATTGCCAACTTCCCTTCCTACCACTCAGTATCATAAAATGTTTTAATCTAAAAATAATTTCTATTTTTTCAGTGCATTGCAAAATAATTTTTTTCTGTCTTTTCTATAAAATAGCCTCATTCAACTGCTTTCTCATTCTGGTGGATTTTTAAGTTGGGTAATAAAGCTGAACAAAGAACAGGGGAAAATGCAAAGGGTTTTTTACAAAAATGTTCTCTTTTTTATTCTTAACTGTAGGAATTAAGACAATATTGATTTTATACAAAGTGAAAAATACTTTCTTTTTAAAATGAAAGAAGCTCTGAAAATGTCTTTGTAAGTATTTCTGGGTTTTCCTACTTGCAAAATATAGAAAAATCGCAAAGTCTGAAAAAAATCAGTGCCAATATTATGTCTCTTGCAAAACCAAACCACACCAACAAATATTCAAGGGACACTGTTTTATAAAGAAATGCTACATAGGGTCCAGACTGAGAGAGCATCCATGCTCAGGAAAATACACAAAAAGTACTTAACATTAAGTAAGTACATGCTCAAGTTGATAGAAATCCCTTTAAAATCAGTGGGTTTTAAACACAAATGCAAGTGTTACTCTGAGCAGAAGGAAAAGCTATTTAGATGAATGCAGAAGTGCTTTTCCCAAATTGAGGCAAAAATCCCTAAGAAAGGCCCATCTCATGAGAGTATTGTGTCACCCAGAGGCTGTGCGAGTGTGGGATGGTGTCTGGTGACAAGCTCCTGGCCATCACTCTTTCACTGCTCTGCACCTTCCCTGACTTTCATCAGAAAAGGTTCATAGAGAGAGGAAGACGAGTCTTCTCCTGACCCTGATTGGTGGCTTGTGAGGCTTCAGAAACATTGACAGCTAGTTGACCACTAAAGGAATTCACTCCCATCATTCCTGCATGGACTGACGTGTTAGCAAGGGCGGGGAGCTGGTTGTGATTGCGGGGGACACTATAGAGTGCTTCTGCGATGTCTGCTGCTCTTTTCAGGATTATTTCCTAGAGGACAAAAAGGGAAAAAAAGAGTAAGAGAGTTACCAATGCGACTCTGACAAACCTTCTCTTACACACTAAAATAAAACATATCCCTGTCCAAAAGCAAAACCTAGATGCTTTTCTTTCCAAACGGATAGCTAATGCTTATAAAATCTGCTGTCTTCACGATAATTCTGACATCTGTGGTAGAAGAGTCAGAAGTTTCAGTACCAGTGGCCACGCTTCTGTATAACAAGACCAACTGGCAGAATGAGGCTGGAGCCTAGACTTACTCCACCTTAAAGCTATCTTTAGAGTAAGATTGAAAAATCACCGGTGGCAAGACATAATGCATATCATTGCCCATGCTATATAGTATCTGGTGAAAGTGGGCAAATGCCTCCAGGGTTAATAACACATTGCTTTTACAAGCACTAAATTCACACCCTTTAAAAAAGAAAACAAGCAAATTAAACCCCACTCCAGATGCGACATTGCCCTCTATATTTATTCTTGTCTCCCATTGTAGTATCATATACCTTTAGCCCCTGATCTATCTATGTATCTAAGAAATAGCCATGGGTTAGAATTGCTGGAGTAGAATGCATTTACCTGGTTATTATGTGGCATACCATAGAGTGCTTCTACTAAATCAGCAGCCCTCTTAAGTATTACTTCCTGTCAATATAAAAACAGATGCATTCCTCTGAGTTCAATAAACTCCTTGTGGGGGAAAACAAATATTAAAATCTTTTATACTTTTCTATTAGTTGCACTGTGTTTTGTGCTGGGTTTTTTTTTTTTTTTCTTTTTTTTCTCCCAGCAGGTACAACTTAATTGTAACAACTCTCAGCAACCACTGAATGGTGTTAAACCACTGGTTCATCCTTTTCACACACACGCTTAATCAAGTCAAAAGGTGAGAATCATTGGTGCTGCAAAATAAAATACATCACTCAATTGTCTCTACCATCTGCACTATAAACCACTCGTCGGTTTATTGCAGAATACAATCCTGAGGTCATTTACTAGATTACTGCAATCAATGTCATTCAGAGCATGTTATGAATCCCTTCAATGTGTTTATTTTATTCTTAATTGCATACTGCAGGAATTGTGACCTTACCCAGCAGGCCACGCTCAAAAGATATCCAATCAGTCCTATGTTACTGGTAACGTAACCTTTCAACTTCTTTGGTTTGTATCCTGATATAACGGGTCAGGGTAGAAGTCATGTACATAAAATGATGCACAAGAGGAAAACACATGCCGTGGGAGAGAATAGCCCAGTACTGTGCACTGTTTTCTGGAATAATCTCCTGCATGGGCAGCAGAATTTAAAGCAGTCTGGGCTTTAGCTCTCCATATGGGGCAATTTTTGTTTTTTCTTTCTCCATTTTTTTACTTGTTCCTTTACACTTAATATTTCTTAGGATATTTTAAACTGGCATTCAAGTAATAACAGCATTTCCTGTATTCTTACATTTCACATTGTGGAAAAATCTTTATGAACAATCCTGATAGAAAATGTAAAAATGCATTGCAGAATTAACCCAGAAGATTATTTATTTTTTCTTATTCTTTCACATCATCTAGCAGATTCCCAATTGCCTGATAAAAACCAGTCAAGACTGTCCTTTGAGTAAAACAACAAATTTTTGTAATTCCCTGCCCCTAATTATTGCTGTAATATACTACCACAATGCTATTCACCGCAGTATATTTTTGTGGGTAGCTTACAGAAATGGTACCAGTTCTAAAGATTTTACAGTTTTCTACGAAGTTAAACTTTTAAACTTAAAATATTTTACACAATAGCCATATTTTATACCAAAAAGAAACAGTAATGCTCAATTTTCATATACTGTAGACTCTGATCAGAAAATAGAGATATAATTGCGTTCATTTTGCTGTCACCATAACCTCTTCAAAAATCCTTGAACAACTCTTCAAATGACAAGCTTTTAGATGCATATTAGCATTTTTTTCAATTTTAAATTCTCTATAATATAAGATAAAACAGTTGTCATACTGCAGTAACTACTTATGACATATATAATGTCCTAAATTCAAAAATGAGATGTAGGATTTTTGTACTCCCAGTAAACATTTAGGCTTGCCTTCTGCTGCACACACCCCTCTCTCAGAACACACATTTAGATTATTTTCCACATATGAAGTGAGATGTAATATATAATTGATAGATTTTTAAATCACTGCATTTGAAACAGACTCTGAGGAGTTAAGTTGCTACAGCCTTTTTCTGTTTTGTTTTGGGTTTTTGTTTCTGTTTTGGTTGTTGTTTCAGGTGGGTCTTTTTTGTGCAGCTTGACCACAACAGTTAGCAGTATAAGCATGCACAGACTACAAACAACATCCAGGTACAATGCATCCTTGTTGCTTCACCAGAATCATCTGAACATGGAGTTGCCCTTGTTGCCTCATATTGAAGATACAAACTAGAGAAGGACAGAGATGTTACTGAAGAATGTTATCTTTTTCAATCCATGATTTTAGGTGGAAAATTACTGCACAGGTGTTTGACTTCGCAAACTAGGATTTATTTCACCTTGGTAGAAATTGTTGGCACTATATATTTTAGTGATGCAAAATTAGAATGTGATACAGTGCCCACAAACTGCTTTGGAATATTGTTAACCCAAGCTGTCATTATGCCAAATTACTAAAAAAATAGAAAGTTTAAGTAGTAATTTCTGCTCTACCTGACTAATCACAGTTATTTATGTAATGCTGAGCTAAAAAAACCTTAGACTGCATCTAAAAAGAGATTGAAAACCATGTTCAAAAATGAGGTAATTACATAGAATCTTACAGCCGCTCCACCTAATATCAAATACATTCCAGTTCTTAAACATTGGAGGTTCTTTGATGCTGTATTATATTGCATGTAAATAAAACTAATTGTCATGATGGTTTATTGAAATACGTCTGACAAGTAGCATTCATTTTTCCTAGCTAGTCAATGGTTATATTTTTTTTCAACATTTTCAGAGTCAGTAAATTTGAGTTTCATATTTTCTCTAACAATATTTTCACACAATAAAATCATTTCTTGTTTATGACATTTTCAGATCATACAGAGTAGACGTTACACAAAACCTCCCATGTCAAATAATGGTATCTTCTATTCCAGAGCTGACGATAGTTCTTACAGGCAGAAACTAGCTTTAAAAATACACAATGAAATGCTACTACAGACATGCCAAAGATATTAACTTCTTGTTTCCTGAATGCATTCTTAATCCCTTTCCAGCTCTGCTTAAATTACCATGGAAGCTACTGTTACAACTCCACATACACAGGAGCCCAAAAGTCCTCTATAAGTTAGAGCAACAGACCTTGCAAGGTGCTTGGATTGCGGTGACCAGAAAATTGTTCTCACCTCCATGTCATTACGCTCACAGTGAAGCAGCCCCCGAGCATGTTTGTGTTCGGGATCTAATATATTGCCTTTCAATCAGAGCTGAGAGCCACTGAACACATAGACAGAACATGACGAGCAGGTCAGGAAAGCAATAAAGATTTTACAGAGCTGTCCAAGGTGCTAAATTTACTCAATAATGGGTTTGGCACCATAGTGTTAACCTCTCATTTACTACCAGTTTGAGGGACTAAATTGAAGTAGCTGACTTCATTTACCTTGAAATGTATATTTTATGACATTATGTAAGTAGATTGAAAGGGCACTGCAGTTTTAACAATTTAAAGGCTAGAGCATGTTTAAGATGAAGCTCGAATATTTATTGTATATGGCACTTAAACTATATTGTATATTAAAATGCATTGATTAAATTTGTAAAAGGTATTATAAAAAAGGACAGCTAATATAAAAGATCTATGTCTTTTAAAATCCAATTGATACTGCATGTTACCACTGCAATGGTGATAGATAAACAGATAGATACGTGGACAGAGCAGCATATCAAAAAGTGAGTGAAACTCTCATTCTGTAAAAAGAAATCTCTGCATAGGCTGAAGGCCTCTTATTCCAGATATTCTTTTGTTCATGGAAATTTTTCTTTGCCTTCACCTCAGAAGCCTAGATTTTCATAGCAGTAAGTGGACATCATGTAAGGTCCTTCCAATTGAACATGCAAGTGGAAATATTTCCTGAGAGAGACAGTTTGACTAAAGCTAATATCTAATTTATGGGGGAATTTGTCAAGTAAGAGCCACTCTTCTATTAATGCTAGAAGTCTGACAGCTTTTGGTTTAGAATAAAGGACTTCACCGTATTTACTTAAAACTGAAGTGAGGGTCTTCTTGTCTTGCATTTTATTTCAAATGAGCATCATTTTATTTCTATAAAAATAACAACCGAGCAAATATTGAAAAGAGGAAAGATTACTACAGTGATTAAATATGATGCATCAGAACTCTGCCCTGCATGCAGCTACATACTACAGATCCCGTGTCCCTTTTTATTCCAAACTGAAGGTGATTTTCTACTGAGGCATTTTGACTTTTTTGATTTTTGAAACAGGAATGCACTTAAATATTTTAATCAAATTTTCCTCCTGAAAATACTAAGGGATATTTACATAAGCAAAAGAGGAGGGTGGGTAGTGAAGTTTGCTGTAACTTTGCATATTCCACAATTACTGTAAGAAAAAAACATACAAATCATACTGGAATGACTCTGCTTTTGAAGCACAAAGACTGAAATTCAGAATGAATTCTGACAGTATATACCCTGAACCAACATCAGAACAACTTTTCACATTTTGTTTGTGATGTGCATTCCCTTCAGAAGGAATTCATTAAGATCATGAAACTTGCATTTCAAGTTTTATCATGACAAACAGTTTGTGTCCAGTTTTATCATGATAAATAGATTTTGTGCCAGTTTAAAAAAATAGGATATTTATTCTGGTGACATCTGCTTACTCTTTATTCAGAAGCTAGTGAAAAAAATCCACTTTGTGTCCGAGCGGTGTGAGTCTAGTCAGCTAAAGGGTATCTAGAGCTACACTGAATTTTTCGGCTTAAGTAACTAAATTAGATAATGTTCAAGGTATTTGTTAAATCTAAATGAATTTTGTCAAGAAGAAGCTGACCACAATATATAATACTCATCAGCCACATATTGTATTATTGAGACCACCAAAGGATTTATGTACTTGGGGAGGGCGTGGGGGGAAAGCTGTTCTAGCATACTCTGAGGCATTTATCTTATGTGTTGTCTAGATATCATATCACCTTCTAATGCTCTTTAGCATTGTAATAGAAGAGAGAGCTCATTCATCTTCTGAGAGGGTACTTAGGGATGATGATGTCATTCATACTTTCTTGACTCTTATGTCTGACCTCCTGGCTCTGCCTTCTAACTTCCTACTCTCATGACTACTTGCAAGAAAAGAACTCTTCTGCAGAGTCAAAATGCTGAACATCAGACTCCAGTTCCCTTCTTCACCTTAGAAAGGTCACATTCTGAAATTTCAAGTCAAAATTACAATATTTCGTGCTCAAACTTTTCCTTTGCTTTTCAATGGGTAAAATCTGTCAATGTACTAATTAAGGGTATGTTTTAAAGTAAGTGTTAAAATTATACTTTAAATTTGTGTATACATTATATTTTAAAAGGAAGAGAAAAAAAACAGTGAACACCTCTTTAAAGTGTAAAGGCAAAAAAACCCCCATTTTGGTTGGGAGCCATT